TCGTCCAAAGAAATTTTCATTTCTCTTCAAAACCCTGAACCGAGCTTTCTTTTCTCTTGCCGAATCCACAAATGTCTCCTTTTCCATCCGATCTGATCACTGACATACTTTGTCGGCTTCCCGTGAAGACATTACTTCGCTTTAAATGCGTGTCCAAGCCATGGGGTTCCTTAATAGATGACTCAGATTTCGTCAAACTCCATCTCCATCAGTCTTTGAAAACCAACACCAATGTCAAGCTCTTTCTTGATAATTGTGTAGAAAATGATAACAAAGCCTATGCAGTGGACTTCGACTCGCTGTGCAACTTGGTGCAGTTTCCTCGTCCGTTTACAGCTGAAGCGAACAAATATCAGTCCAGAATATTTGGTTCTTGCAACGGTTTACTTGCTGTATATCATCGTCAAGAAGGCATTGCTTTGTGGAATCCATCAACCAGAAAATGCCATTATCTGTCGACATGAAGTGATGATATAGCCATGGATCATGACACTCTGCCTGGATGTGGGTATGACAAGAATACCATACTCGGATTTGGATATGATGTCAGCGGCAATGACTACAAGGTGGTGAAAATGCTCAGATCCAAGACTCAAAATTGCTTCAAAGTGATGGTTTATAGTCTGAAAGCTAATTCTTGGAAGAGGATTAAGGATTGCCCTTATGACATTTTCACTAATTACAATGACGGTGCCTATGTTAATGGTTCCCTGCATTGGGTAGGGGATGAAATAGGTGGATTTTGTGGAGGTAAAGTGATCTTTGCTGTTGATCTTGGTACTGAGGAATATTACGAGGTTCCTGAAGGTGACATAAGCTTCAGACAGAAAAAATGTGGTGGTGATTGTACAATTTTTAGTTACATGAATGCGGGGGTGTTGGGAGGACGCTTATGCGTTTCCCGTGATTACTCAAATTGTTCAGTCGAGGATCATATAAATTTGTGGGTGATGAAGGAATATGGAGCCAAAGAGTCTTGGACTGAACTACTTTATCTGTCACGAGACGAATGGCTGACGAATATATTTCACACCAGAGCTGTAGCATATTCTAAGGGTGGTGAAAAAATATTGCTAGATGATGGCGGAGGTTGTCAGTCTGTTTGGTTCAATTTGGAGAATGAAACAGGGGAGACTCTCTGTATTCCAGGGGCACCCCAATGCCAACGCTTTTCTACAACGATTTATGTGGAAAGCCTTGTTTCTGTCCATTAAAAACCGGTTCAATAGTGCAAGCAAAGATAAAAAGCATTGTTTTAACTTGTCATGCTTCTTTTCTTTCTCTGTTAAGGTTTTCGCTTTCAGTTATAGGCAGGTGAAATAACAACTTGCCATGCAATAACTCCAAGATGTGGCATGTGTTTCACTTTGAGCAGCAGCCTTCTCAATGGAAGTCTTCTCTTTTTGAATCTTTAGAAGTCTCAACTCGCCTTTGTTACAATTTTTCTACATTCTACATTCTCCACAAGTGAAGACTCAAAGTTCTTCTGCAAATGGTGTAATTTTTCCTTAAAAGTCTTGCCAAGTCCAAATTTAGAGATTCAATTCGCACAGCAATCTAATTTTACATTTTGCAATGGCCATTTACAAACATTTTACTACAAATTTGAGATTCTAAAGGCCCAATTTTTTTTGTAAGTTGCATTTATCTCTGACAACTTTAAATAAATAAACAATGGTTTAAGCTATAAGATTACATTAAACCATCAACTGAATATTTATAGTCGGTGCTTATGATGATAAGACTGAATGGAAGTATAAAAAATTGAGAGTGGAAGGAAGGGCACATGATGCCACTCTCTTCAACTCTTCATTACTTTAAATCCATGTGGAATTGAAGAGGCATCCCCTTTTACTCAAATTTAAATGATCTCTTGTATATAAATCTTCAATTAAAAAGAAAAGGTTGAACTTTAGACATCAGACTCCACCTTGCTTGCCATTGAAAAACAGGGGTAAAACTCAGAATTTCTAACTATAGTATGCATGAACCAGGAGGGAGATAAAGCTGCTTTATTTAGAATTAATTCTCCATTTACTATTACAGAATTAGTATGACTTTTAATCTTTAACATAGATTTTATCTCTTAAGCACATGAGAGCATTAAACTCATATATGAACAACGCCACCTAGCTTTCAGAAATATAATTTTTTTACAGACATGCAGAGTAAGCCTCCACTGATTGTCTCTGCCATTGAAGAAAGTATGGCCTCTTCCACGTGAACCAAAGTTACCAGGTTTTTCAGAAATTGCTTTCTGGGCCCAAGTTGGAGATAGATCGAGTGTAGGCAACTACCGCTGGACTTCAAAGAGAAGAAGATCACTAAATAAATAAAAGCAAAGAGAAGTTTCAGCCTCTGGGCAATTTCCAAGTTACTGACAATCATAAATCCTAACTTTTGGGTTAGTCTTTAGATTGGACAATGACGAGACTACATATCATCCTGCCACCCATGCCCTAAGATAATAAGTTTTAAATGAATTTGGCATAACATGGCTGAGGAAAAGATATAGTATTAATCATTCACAATATCTTACAAGCATTTACGTGCAGAGCTAGCTGGAACCAGTTTTGGGATGAGCCAGGCTTTTTGGAGCATTGCCTAGGCTACCAGTCATATCTGAAATGGCTGTGTGACATTGCCAAAGCGGCGGCGATACATGCCCATATAAAATTCAATATTATTTCTTTCAATTAAAAATTATTAAAATAAAATATTAAGATTAAAAGTAAAATATATTTATTTTTAAAATTTTGATCAAAATTATATAAAAATTTATTAATTTTTAAATAAATATTAATCAATTGTAAAATTTTATTAACTTACTGACACGACGAAGATTAAAAAAATAATTTTATTTTTAATTAATTTTTAAAATTATTATTACATAATTTTATTAATTTTATTAATAAAAAAAACTTTTCATTTGATCGAAGCTCTGGGATGTTTTTTTTTTAATTTTTTATAATTTTTGTTAATAATATTTAAGTTTTTAAAACAGAATATTTATTTTAAAAATTAATAAATTTTTGTGTAATTTTGATTAAATATTAAAAAATAAAAATATTTTATTCTAAAATCAATACTAAACTCTCACTCAATGCTCAGACACTTGACTCGACAGCTTAAGTTTTAAATTGAGTCATGGTCATCAACTTCAACATGACAACTAGAGCTTGAAATTTATTCAAGGGTGGGATGTATACACGTACATTAATTAAGATCAAGAAAAGCCTCCCCCAAATGTATTGATATATTGGGGGGGTTTGCCTTTGCCCTGATTATTAACTCTTGTACATGAGAGACTTGGTATTTGACAAATTAAGGAAAGAAGACATCCAGCAAAATCTAGATAGTATATATAAAGCATACAAAAGGCCAATATTGCTGGTATCCTAACAAAATCATGATACATCCACAAACTTTAGTTTTGAATTAGGTACCTTGTTCGTTTTAGTCTGTTGGCATAAATTTGTTAAAAATAGACATTACGTAACTTTTAATTTTAATATTTGAATATTTAATTTATTGATTAGTATATAATTATTTGTCTAAAGAACAGAATTTTAATTCTCTTTTTCAATTAAACCTATATTATAATAAGGTGGGAAAGGAGAGTGCAGTTGGGATGCATTAAGCAAGGGAATGATTAAAGATGTGTTTTCAGTTTCAAAAGGAACATAGCCAGCTTGCACCAATCAATTTGATATGTGTCATCCCTGATGCAATCAAGTCTATCTGAAAGAATTGTCTAATGTCCTCTTTATTTTAGTAAAAAATCTCAACTTGGCAAGGACAAGGAAAATCGCACATAAGAGTGGATCTATTGACACTTAGCAACTTGTTATGATCTTTAGGTTGGTTCCAAAACCATATCAATGCAAGCAACCTGACAAATGTTAGAGTTGTTCTCAAATCTTTATCTTTTAAATTTTCTTCAATTTTAATGTGTTATGTATAACTTCACATGATTCACTTTAATTTTAATAATATATGCTTTGTTTGAATAGGTCTTATTGATTACTCTTAGTCTTTTTTCCTTCTTTCTGGACAAGTACACAAACACATATTTTCAGCTCAATTAGGGATATTTGAAGAAGAAATTTCATGTTTTATTTGATGGGAAGGCGTTTAAGTTAAGGCAAAGCAAATGATGAATATATAGAATGGTAAACAAAGCTCCAATTTTTTTACTAAAAATGAAATGAAACACAAAATCATGAACACTGAGATAGCTTGATTTCTCTTTCTTCGTTTAGCTCACACGCCAATTCAATCAATGCCAGGATTAATTTCAGGGATATAACGTGTTGTGTCCACGTCCTTGTTCTTAAATCAATGTGAACCAGAGCAAGGTGGGCTCGAAAGCCTTGAAGCGTGGCAGCCACAAAAAGTGAAACGCAAGAATCAACAACTGAACCATTCCCAGAATATTCTCTGTGTTTGTAGCAAGTGCGTTTTCGAAGGTGGGCAACTGAATTTAGTTCCGCTAGAATATTCCCTTATTCCTCCCACCATTCTTTTGCTTCTGATAAACCTTAAACCGACAAATATTTAACCCCATGGAACACCCTTTTTACCCGTCCGATCCAGTGACCAAACTTGATTGACCACTTGGTCCAATCAAGGTCATCAACAATGGGTGATGTTGCTTGCATCAGAGGAACAGGTTACAAGCAGTCGTATCAGATTAGGATGGGTAGTCCAGAAAGCTTCCAGAAAAAAGGAAAAGGATTCTTCTGGCCTAATTCCTACTTACCTTTAAAACTCCCTCAAGTAATATTCCTTTGGCATAAAAAAAATCCATTGTTTAATAACTGTGTTATTCTCCACATGCACATGACTTTTTTCTACATATAAATACCCTGTCCTATTACGTTCATCTGTGCCAAGAAAACATTCAGAGTTCTTGAGTTTTCCATCCTACATCCATACTCTAAGCAAGAGATATTCTTTTCCCCTCTTGTTTTGCAGTTATTTGATTTTCTTTCAAAGAGATGGCTGGAATCGTTGTAGTTTTTGATTTTGACAAAAACTATCATCGACTGTGTGATAGTGATAACTGGGTTGTGATGAGTTGGGTTTTACCGACTTGTTCAACCAGCTTCTTCCTACCATGCCGTGGAATTCTCTCATGGTAAACGTCTGGAATTTTTGTTTCTCTTGTTTTGTCTTTAAAATAAATAGAACTCAATGTTTAATTATTTTCTTGTGGTATAAAATTACAGGATAGGATGATGAAGGAGCTTCACGCACAAGGAAAAACCATCGATGACATTGCTGAGGTACTGAAACGGACTCCTATACATCCTAGGATCGTCCCAGCTATTAAAGCAGCTAATGCTTTAGGGTATTTTTTTTTCCCTTTCTTTCTGCGCTCCTCTTCATATTGTTCCTGTGTATTTATGTTGGTACTGATCAAATTGATTTGTGGTTTTTAGATGTGAACTCAGAATCGTAAGTGATGCAAACTTGTTCTTCATTGAGACAATTTTGGAGCATCTTGGATTGAAGGAATATTTCTCTGAGATCAACACCAACCCCGGCTTTGTTGATGAAGAAGGAAGGCTGAGGATCTTCCCTTACCATGATTTCACCAAGTGTTCACATGGCTGCAACCTCTGCCCCCCTAATATGTGCAAGGTATCATATTTTTTTACCACTTAAAATGATTTAATTTCATTTTATGATACTTTTTTGTCAATCAAGACACCAAATCTTGTAGAAAGACTTGGTTTTTTCATATAAGTGAATAATTTTATGAAGGTTCTTTTTTGCCTGCAAATTCTAGAAAATTTTGTTAGTTGAAGGTATTCCACACGTACATAGTCAATTTCATCCCACTAGCTTGGAATTTTTATTTTTTAAATCTATTTTGATTTTAGACATATCAACCTCTTTTCTTGACCCCACTTAATCTATTCAACTAATGGTTCATATGAGGACTTAAATCATAACCATGATATTGACATGGGGCAACAATTTTTTTTTTTAAAATCATATAAATTTACAATCATGAAATATGATATATCAAGTGTCTTCAACTTCTAATTTTTGGCTTGTGCTTTGTGCAACAGGGGATGGTCATTGAAAGGATTCAAGCTTCTTTAGAGGGGAAGAAAAAAATTATCTACCTTGGAGATGGTAGCGGGGATTACTGTCCAAGCCTAAAGCTTGGAGAGGCAGATTACATGATGCCAAGGAAGAATTTCCCAGTGTGGGAGTTGATTTGCAGGAACCCTATGCTCATCAAGGCTGAGATTCATGAATGGTCTGACGGTGAAGAGCTTGAACGCCTTTTGCTGCAAATAATCAACATGATATCTGTAGAAGAAAACAAAGGCAGCTCTGCCCAACGGATCTCTGTTGACTGCAAACTGCAAACCATTTCAGCATCTACCCATGAGGCCCTGCCTCAAGCCCTGCCGGTTCCTCAGTAGAGAAATTGTTGGACAGATGCCAATGCTCATCGAATTACTGCTGAGTTGCTTATAGGGTTTTGATTGTCAGGCCTTATGCATTTTCTATAAAGAAAAGTGTGTTTGAAATAACTGTAAATAAATTTTTCCAAAGAAAATATGACTGGAAAATTGTTTCCAAATTAAATTCATCAATTCTGTTAAGAGATGTAATGGCTCTATTATTATGCCATATGTGCCAATCCATTGGTGACAATCATAAAACCAAGTGGACCAAAGTTATAGAGAAGATTATTCCTAGTTTTTTTTCTATCAGTTAAGAACCATACCGAGCTATTCTCAAAGTTTGGAATAGATCCCTTCTTTTGCAACTTGCTTTTAGCTGTGTTTCTTTTTGTTTTCTTTCTAAATACAAGAATACAAGTATGGTTACGTTTCTTCCAAGTTTTTGAAGATTAATGGATTAGTACTCATTATTCTGACTTGCTTCTTTATTGAACGATGATGTAGTGTTTGATTCTTAATATTTACGTACATTTCATAAATTTTCCTCTAAAAGAAAAAAAAATTAAAAAACAGAACCATAATCAAGGAGTAATGAAATCTTTTGATTTAAACATTACCCTCTGCTTTATGAATTATATAGAATCTAATCCATGCTCAAAACAAGTTCAGCTTAGGTTTGATCCATTATTTTCTTTTCCTCATCATATATACCATCCCTTGAGATGTCTAATGTCTTACACATGCCAAATGTAGATATATGTGTCCATTAGTTTAGTTTATATTGAAGGAATTATGCGTTAAGATTAATTTAATTTGATAATTGTGATGAACATTCCAATAAGGAATATTGCTATTTCTATAACTAGGAAGTTACTTAATTTTACATCAATTTTTGCAAAGCTTAAGTTTGGTTAAGAAGGAGAAGATTATATACAGTAATAGTCTAGAAAGGAAGGCACCGAAGTAAAACAAATCATATAAGGTTAACCTAACACTTCTTTTCACATGGCCCGCACCTCAGTTTTCGCATGTCCCCGTGTGCTTGAAAAAGAAAATATCAACGCCTCCACCGGTTATTGTGTTTTTCAACAAGAGTGGTCGCTCCGTACCATGTTGGATAAATAGCGTCAACCATGGAATACTTCGGTAATTGAATAAATAATGTATAACTTAATTACCTGCCCCAGGACCAAGGCTCAAAATCTTGACGACGCTACTTCTTTATTCCGGCCATCATAGAGCCCTCCAATCTAAGGTGCACCTTTCAAAGTATATATTGGGAATATGAATATAATGTGTACTTATATATATAGATTTTATTCTAATGATAAAAGATTGATTCAAAAGAATAAGAATAAAGTATAAATTTATATATATCTTAAAAGATTATATATGTGATATGAAAGGTTTATTAAATTTGAAGCTATAAATGACAATGTTATTTATATTTATGATTATAAATAAATATAAATTATCTTTGATTGTATAACTCAAATCCCAAACATATATAAGGCTTAGGATCAGAAAGTAACTTATAAGTTCAAATAAACTAACTTAATTTCAAGCTGGAAATAAGAACAGTATACCCTTTTTGAAGGCATTTCGCATGGCATATTCTCAATATTCCTGCTTTTCTGTCATAAAAGCAGTTGGTTAATTAAAACCACAGCAAACAAAATCAGACTATTAATATTTAAAATCATTTGAACTCTCAACTGTCAGCATATTGAGGAGTCAATATCACACCCAAAGAAAAACACACGCTTATGAACTTTCGTGGCACCGCGTAATAGCAAATATGAGGCACTTGTGTTTGACTGTTTAAAGAATATTGAAAGAAAATCACAACCCTTCATCTTGAAATTCACAATCTATAAATACCTTCCCTTTCTTCTATAATCCAAAACATAGCTTAAACCTCAAGCTAATATCCTCCTCTTTTGTGATCAAAATCTTTTTCTTTTGTCCACTAAACTTTGTTTCATTATTCATCATCCAATGGCTGATATATTGTGATTTTGATTTGATAAAACATTATCGATTGTGATAGTGATAACTGGGTGTTGGATGAATTGGGTGCTACAGATTTGTTCAACCAACTCCTCCCCACTATGCCTTGGAACCCTCTTATGGTTAGTCTTGTTTTTTTTTCTTTTCTTACTTTGCATTTTCTTGCTCTAGTTTTTCTTTTCTTTCTCGAAGTAAAGTAAGCATAATTTTGGCTATTTTTCTAATAGGATCGAATGATGAAAGAACTACATTCACAAGGAACGAAAATTGAGGACATTAAAGCTGTTCTTAAAGGACCCCGATACATCCTCGAATCATCCAGGCCATTAAATCGGCTTATGCTTTAGGGTATGTATGCATCTTTTGCTCTTTGTATATAGTTTTCCTTTCTGGCCTTCTAGCTAAAAAATACTGAAAGTTTTGGTGGGAACGATGTTATTTTCAGATGTGATTTGAAGATTGTAAGCGATGCTAACGTGTTCTTCATTGAGACAATCTTGAAACATCATGGCCTGAGGGAATACTTTTCAGAGATCAATCAAACCCCGGTTTCGTTGATCAAGAAGGCAGGCTACGTATCTTCTCTCATCATGATTTCACTCAATCTCCTCATGGATGTCATCATCCCTGCCCTCCAAATATGTGCAAGGTATGTAACTTTTTTAACTTAAAAATAGTAAATAACAAGGAATCATGCATGCATCAAAGTTCTAAATATGTGTTTCTTGCCAACGAAAAAGCACTGTAGACATGCCTTTGATGTGGATCTAATCAAATGCATTATTGTAATATCTTTTGACTTTATTTTCTTTTTCACCCTGCATTTGTGTTTCAATATCTTACAGTATAGAAAGAACTATGTTTGGTGGATCATGACAAATCACATGATTTTACGAAAAAATTACCTACTCGTAATCAATCTCAAAGTATGATTATTAGCTGCAACATAATTTAATGCTATTAATTGAATATGATTTCTTACTTGATAGGGTACTGTGATTGAAAGGATTCAAGCTTCTATGTCCATGGAGGGGAAGAAAACAATAATTTACCTTGGTGATGGGGTTGGTGATTTCTGCCCGAGTTTGAAGCTTGCAGATGGAGACTACGTAATGCCAAGGAAGAATTTCCCTGTTTGGGACTTGATATGCAAAAACAGGAGGGTAATGAAGGCAGAAATATGCGAATGGAGCAATGGAGATGAGTTTGAGCATGTGTTACTCCACCTTATCAGCAGGATTTCCATTGATAGAAACAACAGTGACAATGCTGCTCGGCTGCGTTCAAATGATTGCAAACTCCAAACACTGCCAGGCGCTGCCCAAGAAAAAGCCTTCCCCCATGCCCTTTATGTTCCTCATTAGAAAGTAAAGTTGTACTTAATATGGCTGATGCCAAAGGTTAGCAAGTTAATTTCTGACAATTTTATGTCTTTGAGCTTTGGAGAATGTAGTAATCTATAATTTTGGATTAGGGCCGAAGCTAGCAAATATTTTATTGGAGGCGAAAGATGAAGAGAAATAAAGATTAAAAATTTTTAAAATTAATACGTTTAACTTAACCAATAATAAAAAAATTCATAATAGATAATAATCATATGCAATATGTAAATAAAAAATAATACAAAAAAGGTTGAAAACGAAGAGGATGATCGGAGATGAGGATAATTAAATATTTCTTAAGAATGGGTTGACATGATTTACGTTTGAAATAAATACAGATGAATTTTATCTATTTAATTGATAAGAAATTTTTATATCATTGGTCATAATCTAATATCAAGTTTTACATAAAAAGTATCAATTTCACTTTAACTTTGAATGTTTTGAATCACATTGCTCTTATTCATGAGTTGAAGCATTGAGATTTAGTAGCTCAAGTATAAGAGAATGATTTGAACGATTTATATTTTTTTTAAAAAAATTTGTCAATTGTTTTTAATTTACTCATCCTTTAATTAAACCTAAAAAAAATTAATTCAACATCTAATATTCTTTTTTTATTTCTATTTAAGCTTAAAATACTAAATATAAAACTATAATGTATAAAATATAAATGATTAAATAAGATACAGAGAATTTCACATAATATTAAATATATAAATAGTTAAATAATATAAATAAAAAAATAAAAAAAATTACTTATTTTTAATTTCACACAATAGTAGTGAGTGTTGTTGTCATTCCTTATTCAAGCTCATAAATCTCATAAACCATAAAATCAAGTGGCGACCAAAGTTACAGAGAAAAGATTATTCTTTGTTTATCGGTTAAGAACCATACCAAGCTATGGAGATGAGTTTGAGCATGTGTTGCTCCATCTTATCAGCAGGATTTCCATTGACAGAAACAACAGTGGCAATAGTACCGCTCAGCTGTATTCAGTTAACTGCAAACGCCAAACAATGCCAGGCGCTGCCCATGAAAAGGCCTTCTCCCATGCCCTTGATGTTCCTCATTAGAAAGTAAAAGTTGTAGTTAAAATGGCTGATGCCAAGGCTTAGCAAGTTAATATCTGACAATTTTGTGCCTTTTAGTTTTGGAGAATGTAGAAATCTACAGTTTTGGATAGTAGAGAAACGTCAATTAAATTGAGTAGCAAAGTATTTTCTTTTATCAAAATAACATAATTAATTTGGGGTATTCTAAAATATAGTTTGCAAAGGAATTTATACCCTGAAATTGCATTTTTGGTCAATGAGAAGGCAGGCAGCTTCTGATTTAGTGGCCAAGTGACTGAGGCTATATAGAGCATTCACAACATCAAAAGCATGTAGATTATCAGCAATTTCAGCAGAAAATGGAAAAGCTAGTTTTACTTTTTAACATATAGCTAGTGATTGGAGTAGTGTGCAGTTTTACAAAAGAATTGCATTTGATGGGGGAGAACATGCATTATAAAATAATAATCATGAAAGTTTCACCCTTTCCAACACCTTCTCTCCCTCAAAATCAATATGAAAAAAGGGGAAAGTTTACACCTCCCACATCCACACTTATTTGTAGTGGCGATGCAGACCGTGGGGTACCTACATGGCTTGCATCAGAAAAATCTGGAAGCCGTCTGGGCAGTAGTGAGGGTTACTATGATTTGTTCCTAAAGAACTATCAAGAGCTCACGAAGAAGAGGAGATGGAAGCAGCCCCTCCTCATTGGATTGTCATATTCTGTGCAAATTATGGAGGAAGGAGCAATGCCTGTTACTCCCTTTGACATTCCCGTGGATGCTCTTGTATCTCCAGCTGGTTTCACTCCAACAAGCACAGCTGCTTTGAGGAGATGTGATTGAGCAAAGCTATCTCTTTTCTGTAGCATAACATGTGTGTTTCGCTGATTTGGAAGCTGGCTTCTAATGAAAATGAGAAAAAAGAAAATTGGAAATATAGTGGATCAGGGTGTTTTTCCATGCTTTCTTTATCATGCTGTTGAAAGCATTAGTCTGGCTGCGTCATGTACTTCGAGAGAGCGCATTCAATCGTGACAGGAGAGAGTATCATGATAGCCAACCACAGTCAACTTGCCTGGGAGGTTCTTCATCAAGAGTCTTGCACTCAAGAAGCTTCCCAGGCTGCCTTCATATTGCTTCTGCTGCTTCTATGGGCAACAGGAGTAGTTCGCTGGGCAAAATATCGTACCATACCAATGAAATTTTTGTATAGTTCCCAACTACATATGCTTTTTTTTTTCCTTTATTTCTTCTATTCATAAATTCATGTCTCGTTGGAAGTTGTATGTTCTTACGTGCTATTGAGGAACAATTTATTTTGCAAACAAACAAAAAATGTAACCTGAAATTTGTAAAAACATTATAAATTCATAAGTGTTACAGAATACTTAGATACGTAAAAAATGATTCAAAAAAAAGGGGCAAAACAGTAATTCAAATGAGAATCTTAGGTACAACAGCTTATAGCAGGAGGGTGAACGGCAGTGACAGTGAGTTACATATGTATCCACATGTCATTTTTTGAATGGAAGGTTTTAATTTCTCATCCGTAGGCTTAGCGCACAGACAAGGCAAAAAGTACAACACGCTTCATCACGAGAGGGAAAGCTTTTCTTTCTTTCTTTCTTTCTTCTTCTTCTTCCTCCCGATAGGAAAAAACAAAAAAGCTGTCTGAGAAAAGCCCTCTCACTTAAAACCCTAAACCATAAATTTGCAAGAAAGACAGCAGAGATAGCACTCATTCTTTTTTGGTTACATTAATATTGACCAAGTTTTGATAATATCACCGACAGTAGCAGACGATATGAGTCGATATGATAGCCGCTCCGGCGATCCCGCCTCCTACCGCGACCGTAGAAGGTAACTACTCAAATTTTTGCATTTCCCTAAATTTTAATGTAATTCTCGTTTTTTTTTTTTATGTTTAAGTTCATTTGATGTTTCCTTTTTCCTATCTAGATTAATTCATTCAATTCATTACTCTTTTGTCCCCTAAATTACTGAATTAGAACTGATATTCTTGTTTATTTTTAGTTTTAGCTATGTTTTTTAATCTGGGTTTCGCATTTCTTTAGTTTAGCTTGGCTTAAAACTGAAGACTGATAAATTTTAATTGAATTTGCTTCTGTTAAATGTTTCAATGAATTTTATGTTGTTTTAGCTACCCATTGCTCTAAAGGATTAATTTTTAAGTTCAAATACAGTGGCATTTCAGTTGTTTTAACATAATGGCATAAGGCCATTAGCAACTTCTCATATCTAAAATTGTAGTACTATGAAGTTTCTGGTCTCCTATCTGATTTTGTACTACTTTGAAGTTTCCGTTTGTTTGTTTTTTTTTTTTTGTTTGAAAGGAAGTTTCTGTTTGTTTAATTTAGTATGTTGGTATAGTGACTCAGGGTTTGGTGGGGCTTCAGCATATGGCGGTTCGATGCGGTCCTCGAGCAGAAGGGATTATGATGGTGCTGAACCTCCTAGGAAGTTGGATTTGGATGGATTGACTCCTTTTGAGAAGAATTTTTATGTTGAGTCGCCGTCGGTGACGGCAATGTCGGAAACGGAGGTGGAGGAGTATCGGCAGCGGAGGGAAATTACAGTTGAAGGTCGTGATGTTCCGAAGCCCGTAAAGAGTTTTCGCGACATGGGATTTCCCGGTAATTTGTTGGTTCTTTTAATAAGTCCAGCATATTTAGTGTTTGATCCAGACATAAATTGTCAACCAATCAGCATTTTTAGTGTATTGTTGTAATGATTTTTCTCATCAGTAATTAAAGTTAGTTATTTCAATATCAAATATGATGATTGGACAAGCCAAGAATGTATTAGTTGTTGTAATGAAGAACATTAGTTCTGTTTACTTAATCTTAAAGATTAAAAGTGAAGGGCACTCTATAGTTTTATTATTTAATTCTGTTGTTTATCTAACATAGAAAATAACTGAAATTGTATTGACTATAGTTTTTTAGTCACAGGTGATAATTGCTCTTTAAAGTGAAGGCACTCTATCTAATTTTGCACTATTTTAAAGTTTCTATTGTTTAATTCTGTTTACTAGACAGCCATTGTATTGACTATAGTTTTTTTGTCACAGCTTCTGATCTTTTTCATGTATGATCACTTTTATAAATGATGTCTAATTAGAATTAGTGCTAACGAATAGTTAATTAGAAGGATTTTTTTTTTTCTTGAGTGAGCTTAATAGAAGACTTTGATGTTATATTATTTGTTGCTAGTAGTTATTCAAATGCTCACAGGGCAGTGGTTATCTCTTGCCTTTATGGATGTACTCCTTTGGGGAGTGAATTAGGCTCATCTCAAACCTTCATTTCCTATATCTTCATAGATATGCTCTTTTTGCTTCTAGATGTTAAATCACAGGTGATGCTACTGCTGCCATGTTATGAATTGTTTAATCAGTCTAAAGAGTTGTTTTTGTTGTGTCTAATATATTTTGCATATACATTTTATTATCAATGTAAAAAGATGATTGTTTTGATGGTTAAGGAGAAGTTATTACTTTCTAAGCGTTTTGGGTGTTTCTTGGTTATATGGAATTTTACTTCTGTATTTGAAAATTATCAACTTGCTCTCTTCATAGATTCTTCTGTGGTGATAATTGATATTCTTTTCTTGTTGCCAGAGTATGTGCTGCAAGAAATCACAAAAGCTGGCTTTGTTGAACCAACACCTATACAAGCTCAAGGCTGGCCAATGGCTTTGAAGGGCCGTGATCTCATTGGGATTGCTGAAACTGGCTCGGGGAAGACTCTTGCCTATTTGTTACCTGCAATTGTCCATGTTAACGCACAACCAATTTTAGGTAAAAGAATAACTTGCAATTGCCCTTAATTGTTGTCAGCATGTTTCCGTTAATTGGGAGGGAATAACTCTTGGCCTTTTCCTATTTTCTTTTAGCTCCCGGAGATGGCCCAATTGTATTAGCTTTAGCTCCAACGCGTGAACTTGCGGTTCAAATACAACAAGAGGCTGCTAAATTTGGTGCATCATCTAGGATCAAGAATACATGCATATATGGTGGGGTTCCAAAGGGACCTCAAGTGCGTGATCTCCAGAAAGGCATGTTGTAATATGCTTGGGTGACTGTTTTATTGTGTCTTGTAGTTGCTGAACTGCTTCTATTCTCTAATGCATGATAATTAAGTTTAAGATTCTCTTTCTGACACATTTATTAGTAATTTAAATGGAGTTATCTTTGGTTTGTAATTGCCTACACTAGTTACTAATGAAAATGTTAATTATTTGTTGGAACAGGTGTTGAGATTGTTATTGCTACACCAGGGAGGTTAATAGATATGTTGGAGTCACATCACACAAACTTGCGAAGAGTTACTTATCTAGTCTTGGATGAGGCAGATCGGATGTTAGATATGGGATTTGAGCCTCAGATACGAAAAATTGTTTCTCAGGTCTTTGTTCTCACCTTTCTCTTTCATTTTGTTCTCTCTCTGTCTTCCCGCGTCATACACTTTCTTTTTATGTATGAGAACGGTATATTGTGGGCGTAATGGTTTATCTTCCTCTCTTCTTTAATCTTAATCATTAATCTTTTTATGTCACTCAAGTATTGCACTTCAAGGAAACAAGATGTCAGACTTACTATTTATTCTTTATTCTTAATTTATCCAATTGATGTGGTGAAACTTAAGTCTTTAGGGTGATAAGATTGTTGATTTCAGAAGTCTAAGCTAATGCTTTCAGAGTGCATAAAATAGAGGCTTTGCCTTGATTTCTGATACAATGCAGCCTCGCATCCCCCAGAAGGAAAATGAATTAAAAGGACAAAATCAGAGGGGGAAGGTAGTGTTAGTCTTAAACCTTATTGGTGATTTAGCTAAGAATATGCTCATGTAGAGCCTGTGTTGTTTTGTATAAGCAGCGAAATGTATTGGCCCCATCAAACCCTCTACCTCACCACCGATTGCTCTGAGTGGTACTTATGTGTTATATGCAGATCCGTCCTGACCGCCAAACATTGTACTGGAGTGCGACTTGGCCAAAGGAGGTTGAACAGTTGGCAAGGCAGTTTCTTTACAACCCATACAAAGTAAGAAACTTTATAGTTTTGTTAATATTTAATTGGCTTCTTCTGTGAGCAGATGTCATCTTTAATGCGGATGTGATTTTTAATCTATCATCTAGTTTAGGTTCTTTTATTTTTATTACTTAGGATTTCTAGTCTTTCCTAATATAATTCATGGCTTCTGAAATGTGGTAATCTGATTTTATGGTATAAGTACTTTTAAGGACCTTTGCTATTTAATTTGTTGTGTCCGAAGCTAAGCTCTTTACTTAGTTGATTGTTTCCTTGGACTTTGTGCAGGTGATAATTGGATCTGCAGATTTAAAAGCTAACCATGCAATTAGCCAACATGTTGACATTGTTCCTGAGAGTCAGAAATATAGCAAGTAAGACCAGTTTACATTGTTCCTATGGTTTTGAATTCTTTTAATGTTAACATATGGGATGAAATATATCGAGGATGTTTATTGATCTGTCTTGATGTTCCAGATTGGTGAAGCTGCTGGAGGATATCATGGATGGTAGCAGAATTTTGATTTTCATGGATACCAAGAAAGGTTGTGACCAGATCACTCGGCGACTTCGCATGGATGGTTGGCCTGCTCTCTCAATTCATGGAGATAAAAGTCAAGCAGAAAGGGATTGGGTCCTCTCAGAGTTTAAAGCTGGCAAGAGCCCTATAATGACTGCAACAGATGTTGCAGCTCGTGGTTTAGGTATGTATATTCATTAAATGCCTATTTTGTGCCTTCTTTTAATTAAGTGTATGGCTTTTTTCTTGTAATTTGACTAGGATTTATGCCTCATGTGTCTTCTTTGTCAGATGTGCCCAATTTACTGCTGTTATTACTTTATAAGATATAGTACTTCTTTAGTTATATTTTAATCCACCAGAAATCGCTTTTCTGATAAAGTTCTTTGTTTCCATCAGATGTGTCTTCTATTTGTAACTTTCTATGATTAGATGTTTGAATGCCATTTCCTTTTAGAACATTTTGTCAAAAGATATATCAGATGGCAGGCCCATTTTAATTTGCTTTTTCTTATGTATATTGATATTTTATTGAATGTTTTTCTTTTCCTTTTTGAACTCTTTATACTTGAATCTTGCATCTGATATCTGCCAGCTAGTAATGTTGATAAATCCATTTTTTTAGTTGTCTGAAACAACACCTGTTTAAATTGTTGGAGTTCTTAATTATTGCCGCTTAGCTAATACCCAAAGGTCTCATTACCATATCCATTGCTTCTTTTTTATGTTAACAAATCATTATTTTAGCCATAGCCATTCATTTTCATTATGTTGACGTTTTAGTAGCACTGGTCATGTATCAATTTATTTTTTTGTCATAACTCATATGATGCATGTACAGCATGCATGTGCTCTATCCTGATTTTGCAAGGCTTATCATTTTTCCTTTGCATGTAGCTTTAGTGAACGAGGGATGGTCTTCTTAATTAATTAAATTGTGATTATGATGAGATTTTTAGCTTGAATTTTGAGGATTATCCTTAGGTTTTTATTTTTGTTGGTATCCAACATCCGTATTGTTGCATGCAACTCCTTGTTGCCATTTGTTTGGCTAGTATGAGTGCTTTGATTCCTTTTACGAAATAGAAAGTCACATGGGAGTTTGGGGTAATCTGGCTTGCCTTAGGCTTGACAGAAAGAACCACTTACATGTTTAGAATGACGAATGGGTGCAAAATTCTGGCTTGCTACATTTTCAGAAAGGGGAGTGTTAACTCTGCTGGCCTCAATATCTTGATTACTTATTGTTTTGGTTTGGCGGCAGATGTGAAAGATGTGAAATATGTAATCAATTATGACTTCCCGGGATCGCTAGAGGATTATGTCCACCGTATTGGTCGAACAGGAAGGGCTGGAGCAAAAGGAACTGCCTATACTTTCTTCACAGCTGCAAACGCCAGATTTGCAAAAGAACTTATTGTCATACTTGAGGAAGCTGGACAAAAGGTCTGCCCTGAATTGGCAGCGATGGGACGTGGTGCACCTCCTCCACCATCAGGTTAGTCTTTCTTTCCTTTTTTGCCAACACATGAGGTTAGTTTACTGTAGTTCTTTTGGACATGCAGGCACATGCACACGTTGCCACATTTTGAGGCAGCAGCAAATTAAATGTCAATTGAGTGATTTTCGTTTATTTTCATTGCTCTTGCATATCTAGAGACCTGATTCATAAAGGGACCATTAGAAAACACTAGGGATTGCTACCCTGGTGTTATGTGATCATTGCTGTGTTTCTTCACTTCAAAATAAGTAAATTCTTACTGAGCTACATTTTGCTATGATGGCTGGTGATTACGTAAGAAACTTCACTGGTGTGGTAGGAGCTAATTTGAGCTGATTGAACGGCCTGATACTTGATTTTTATGCATTAGTAGACATGTCTGGCATGATGTGTACGAGTTCCCAAACTTGATACATTATTGCCCATATTCATTTTGTTTATCTGATGATACAGGTCACGGTGGTTTTCGAGACCGAGGTAGGGGTTATGGTAGCAGTCGCCCACGGAGCTGATTAATGAGAAGATCCCCACGAGGGGAAAATTGTAAGACTATGAGGGTACAGTGTAGTGTAGACATATTTCGTTTGACTGTCACTGCTATTTTTCAGGGTTCAACGGTCTTACTGATAGGACTAGCGGGAAGAGTAAGTACAGATGGAACTTGTAAATGAACTCTGTATTTACTCTCTGATAATCCATTTTTTTCTCCATTTAAGCAAAGAACTCATGAGCGACACAATTTGAGTTGCATTGTATTGGCCTTGATCATCTCATCCTTTTTGATTTTGAGGAAAGTAGAGATTATGAGTCAAATGTTCAGATGCTGATAACGTGATGTTATCAATGGATGACTTGTTGCATATAACCGCAAAGCTACTTATTTGTGTTAAATTTGGGGATGAGGGAGGATGGGAGAAAGGTTTTTCCATTTCGTTTTTACCTTTCAATACTAATCTTGTATTGCATTCAAATGGGGATTGGATTTCTAATCGGAAGGAATACCCTTTTTACTACATTTCTTATCGTCTTTTACCTCTACCATATCATTCGAATTGCTTTAACTTTGTTTAATCTTACAATCGTAACTTTATAACCTCACTCCTGTCCCATCAATCAAGAGTAACCCAAATCTACCTCTTTGATTTAAAATAATATAAATGTAGTCTTAATGTTTGAGAAAGTTTTTAAATTATTTAGAAAATTTAAATAAGTTTTTTTTAGATTAAATAGATTTTTATGGGTGACGATAGATTAATTTTTATTAATTAAAATATTATTTGTTATTTTATATGTACGTGATATTAATATAATATTGATAGGAAAGAAAAATGATTTTTTTTAAAAAAATAATGCTTTGATTAAATATAATTAAAAATATTTTATTTAAAATTTATGAATAATTCAAAAATTTATTAAGTATTATGTCTATAAATTTATCTACCTCTTAGCCGAAGGCTTCAAATGTTAAGCAAAAATTAATTAATAAGTCATTTGCATATGTTAATTATGATAAATCAAGCATTTCTTCAAAAATTAAAAAAAAAATCAATGACTTTTCACTAGCATTAGGCATACGTTTTAAATTCAGACGTGCAAATTAACCTTAAGATAGTGGTGTTTCAGAGTAAACGAAAGTGCAACTAGAAACTAACTAGTTCCGTCTAAAGCTTAGATTAGTTGCTTAATATTTACTTAAATTAATGTGGTGGCTTGCCAATTAGTCAAGGCATAGCTGCGTGGGCATACCAGGGAAACGTCAGGGGGCAGAGAAGGAAGAAAAGGAACCTCACCTAGCAATGAGCGAAGGTCCAAAGCTCTACACCAACAAACCTAAAAAAGGTGGAAACAAAAAACACAAACTAATCTCGAAACCCATCATTCTTTTGTACTTGAATTCCTTTGGTTTTAAACAAAAAGTAATCTTCCTTTTTAACCTTTTTTTGGTCCGAGCTTTCTTTGCTTCTCAAATAATAGAGGTTTATGGGTGTCAATAATTTGATTCCTTTTTCTCGATCGCAAAAACTACAGCTCAACTGAAACAATTCCAAGAGCAACGAAAAGGAAAGGATTTGGCTTCAACATCATCAGCTGCAGCAGCATCATACACAATGGGTTCTCAGACTGCTGCAAATCCTCCACCACCACCTCAGCCTCCAAAAGAATCGTTTGCAAGGCGTTACAAGTTTCTTTGGCCTCTTCTCTTGGCTGTCAACCTTTCTGTTGGAGGTCATTTCCTTTCTTTTGAAATTGTTTAATGCTTAGGAGTTTAAATGAGTTCTTTTCAATTTGGCTTGAATGTTGATTTTTATGCTTGTTGAATGCATTGCTTGATTCTGTTGTCTATGGGTAATTTGTTGTTGGAAAGAAGTTTAGGTCTTAAGAGGTTAATATGCTGGAGAACTTTTTTGACCGATCATATTGATTGACCATAGTTCAGTTTGAGAGTCAATAAATATATTTGAGCGTTAAGAATTTGTTAAATGCTCTGTTTATTTGGTTTGAACATCAGGGGAGCACCCATACTCTTTTGAATATGGACTTTTCTTTGTGGCTTCTGTTGGTTATGTGGTGTTTGCTAATTACCGTTTTTGATTGACACTCTTCGTGTGCGACAAGAATGGTCAAATATCAATGAGGGATGGCTAACAATGTGCTAAGGATTGACAATTTAAGTAGAGCTGATAAAATCCCAAAGCATCCAAAGTCATGTATGTGTATGTTACAAACCTTCTGATTGGCATCGGTAAGTGGTTTTGAATAAGCAAACATGCCCTGAAGAAAAGTTGGTGTGGTAGTTTAGCAGTGACTAAGAGGTTGCATTACAAGACAGGTTTTCCTTGTGAATTATTAAGTACATGATACACCCCCTGATTATAATTCTTCTTTGTTGCTTTCTAATAACCATGGAAAATGTATGGTGTTGTGTGACACGTTTTTTTTTATACATATTCAGTTATTTTTTTTCCCCTTTTCTAGCTAACTGTAAGCCTTCTGTTCTTCGATCATCTGTTGTCTCAAGTGTTTGCTAGTAACAATATGCGCTGCATGACACCTATGAGTGCTGATGTTGAAAAATTGACCCTAGGCTTAGTTTGTTGAAGGTTGCTTAAAATTTGCTCCTTCACAATTTATCTCGGCATGCTACAGTGTTACAAATATATCTAAAGTCTTAACTAACTATTCTGTTTAGATAGTGGATGCCTACGTTGAATGAAGACTTATTTAGCTGTTGATATTTATCTAAGAAACTTGGGCACCCCCAAATTTGGCAAATAGTCTATTTGTTCCATTGCTAGAGGGTCCTAGGAATCTTAAAATTGTCTTTTTGGGCATGATTATTTACTGCTGAACCATATCTCTATAGTGGAGTAGCAAATAAGAAGGCATCTTTGCTTGTTGAATACTTCTATTAGGTGTAAACCTGGTTTGGTGTGTTTAAGGGGTGTAATATACACACACACACACAAACATACCCATACTATGTTATGTTTCAACTAGAAATTTTCTAGCTTTCTAAGCTTTCAAAGTAGCATTGGTTAAGGTTATGTTTCTCTACATGTGAGGAAGGAAGGTAAGAATTTATATTAAGGCCTTAAAAAATCCTGCAATTATGTTAGGGACATATGAAGTGAAAGTAAATACTTTTAATTTAAAGTTTCCATTCCTTGTATCTATTAGATTAAGCATATGACGGTCTTTGTCTATTGCAGGAAGGGCAAGAGTGATAAGCTCTTCAAGTGCGTTCTCATTTGTTTTGTTTGAGATACATTGATTTAAATCAACAATTTTGGATTTAGTTTACCCTCCTTCTATGGATTAATTGGGAATTACTAAAATATTTGCAGGTTATAGCTCTCATCATAATCAGATCTAGAAGTCATACTTAGGTGCAGAATGACTTGGAATTATAATGTTAATAATTGTAGGTGATAGCTGTCATAAAGATTTTGCTTAGGAAAATAAATGTATTGTGCTATTTGAGAGTATGTATGTGCTACATCTGGAAACTAGTAATATAAGGGAGATAAGTGTATTTGTCTTGAGCAATGTCTTGAAGTAAAATGCACCCAAATTGAATCTTAAAGATATATTGTGGAGATGTTCCAGCTTAAGTTAGTACTGTGTCTGTTGTACCTTCAGTGATTTGAATGATACCAATGCAGAAGACAGAATCTGGATGATCTAAATGTTTTTAATACTGAAGGTTGGCCATAGCCCATGAATGCCAATAATATGTTCAGAGTTGGACTCTTGTGAGGATTCTGGAAGGATACCATTAAGGCTTTTATTAGTTGCTGCTTTTACTAGTTTTTGCTATTTCTTTTCTGCATCCTCAAACTTGTTATAAAGCAACAGCAAATGGTAGGGTATAAAATCATAATTGATTAAAAATGAGTAAATAGTTAAAAGGTACCACCAATTCTGACATAATTGCTTCCCATAAAAGTAAAATCATGTTCCAAGAAAATTAAAGTTTCTTTTCCTACACACTGAAACTTTGACTTTTAAATCTTCAAAAATGTTAGTTGCTTTTGCAACAGAATGCACTTTTTGTTTTTGCTTTTGGAAGTAAAGTGTGAGTAGCAAATGCAACAATCAAATGGAGCCTAAGAATGCTAATAATCTATGAACATAGATGTGGTGCATTGCATTATTTATGCACCTTTGGTAAGAGAATTGCTTCACAGATCTTCTCTAAAACAATCAAAAACTATTCTGCTGAGTCATAATTACTTATTTTCTTTATTGGATAAACATATTAATGCTACCAATATGATGACATGTTAAGCATATGTCTCAATTTGCTTCATGGTTTGATGCAAAAGATATGGAAATGATAAGCAATTTTGTTATCCTTGTGCCTAAGATTTTGAGATATGATGAAAATGAAACCATTGCACCAATTTTGACACTCTAAGCATGATAAGGTGAGTCTGCAACTTTGAATTTCTCTCTTGTTCAATCATATCCTAACACAACTCAACTTAACCCAGCCATAATCCTAGTGCTTGGGATTGGTTATAGGTTCTTTGTGTATTCTTCTCTGTTTGGAAGAATACTTTTGGTGTACCATTTAGCACTGATCTATTGTTATGTTTTAGTACATGTAACTGAATGAGTAATTACTTCACAATTAGAGAATAATTTATCTTTTACTTGTTGAAGTGACCAACCATACACTTCAGACCTTCACATAGAACAACACATTGTGATAAGTAAAGGAAAATATCATCTTTAGGAGTAGAGATGATGAGTTGGCACGTTCTAATACTATGATAATTTCTCCCAAGCAGATTATTTTTCAACTATTTAAATATTTAGTTAAGCTACAGAGATGGAAACATCAGCTAATTTCTCTGGTTTTCACCCAAAAGAGGAGCTTTGGTTTATGTAGAGATATAAACGAGTACCGCTTAAGTTGGGTGTATTTACAATCTAAGGGTTATTGGATGAATGCAGTTAAATATTTTTAGTAAATTGGCTGGAATTAGCATTCATTTTGGGGGTTAGTAAATGTCTGTATGCAAACACCATGTTGTAGTATTCTGTTCAATACATATTACAAACTCAAGCACCGAGCATTATGCAGTAATTATCTCCGTATTCTTCGGGGCTTATAATGATGATGATGAGCGAAAATATTCACAATTTGTCCCCTGCACCTACCTACACAATGACTGCTTAGCTGCTGGTTGATTATATATGTGCATCAACATATTAGTGATCAGTTGCAAACTGTACGAGTCATAAGTTAGCTAATGGAAGATTACAGGTGTAGTTGATTGCTATAGCGTTCATATAGCAATTACTTTTAGGTGAAAGTTGAACTTGTAGTCTCCAATCAGTGAAAGCATATCTTTTATGCTCTTTTTAGTGTCAATATAGCAATTACTTTTAGATGAAAGTTGAACTTGTAGTCTCCAATCAGTGAAAGCATATATTTTATGCTCTTTTTAGTGTCAATAGAGCAATTACTTTTAGATGAAAGTTGAACTTGTAGTCTCCAATCAGTGAAAGCATATCTTTTATTTGCTTTTAGTTTTGTCTCTAGCTTTTTGCACTGATGATTACCGACAGAGAGCCTGAATTACGTTTAAAAGAGATGAAAATGAGCAATTGCTCATTGGTAGTAAAGAATGTCTTGATATGTTGTCTCTGGATTTCTTTCCAGTGTTGTGTTCCTATAATTACCAATAGTTAATGATAATAACCTTTAGATGCGAATAGGACTAGCTGGTTTTAATGAGCTCTAACTTTTCTTTTTTCTCTATATGTGTTGTTTAGTTAAGGAGCACATCTTGATTGCTTTTGGTTGTCAAGCTGTAGTAATTAGCATTAACAGTTTGTTTTGTTTTTCATGGTATCTGGTTATATTTACAGTTTCATCTTTTTATCTTGTCTGACAGAATCATATTTTGTATTGTGGTCCATCCCACCAACTTATGACACCTGGTCTTTCCTTCTTCCTTCAACCCCCCTCCCCTGGTCCCAAATCAACTTTTTAATCTTATTTTCTTTTTAATATTGTCAAACTTGTGAATGTTGGAGGTTTTAGGTGGGGTTCTTGACAGTTTAATTTCTCAGAAACATGATTTGCAGCTTGTCTGATAGAAATTTGTATGATTGATGCAGCTTACCTTTTCATGAGAACAAGGAAAAAGGATACAAGCATAACTGATGAAGATGTTGCAAGAGATGTTGGTGCGACTCCTGTTTCAACTACAGATGTCACTGCTCCTCCAGTTACTGAAAAGCCCTTACCTTCACCATCCATTACACAACTTGTGAAGTTGGTTGAACCCATTCCTGAGAGCCAGCAGCGTGAACTTTTTAAGCATATACTGGAAGAGAAAAGGAAAATCAAACCAAAAGACCCTGAGGAGAAGAAGCGCCTTGATGAAGAGAAAGCCATACTCAAACAATATATTCGAGCAGAATCCATTCCTCGGATATGACTGATAACGCTTTGTTTAAAGTTCGATATGAACTTTTCTTTAAGTATTTTGGAAGTTTAGTTTCCATTCTATTGAATTTCAAGTTCTCTTGTTTTAATATTTTGGTTTGGTAAAATCTGCAAGAAATTGTATCATTTTCTTGAGAAGTACTTTCCTAGTATAATTGTCACCCTGTAAATTTCACACAAAGGGTAATGTTCGTGACAATGTTGCCTACTCTGCCACTCTTACTTAAATCTGCAATGCATTATTGGAGATTAGATGACTGCTGCCACTTTTGTGTCTGCTCGTTAAACCATCAGCTGGCTTCCAGCAGCAGACGTCCAGAAGTGAATGGAACTTGAAGTCCAGTCAGACTGATCTCTTTTGAGTGACCTAAATTGTTCAACTTGATAGACTGTCCAAGTGCAAGTAAATAATAGTGCGACTTAGATTCCAGTAATCTTGGCAAAAAAAGGAGCAGTGTTTCATACACCACCAAAACTTCATCTTCCTTTTGAAGTGGAGTAAGCTTTGGCCTTCCAATACTTTTTCTGGCTGTGGGTTGCCTTCTTATATCTAAAATGTCAATGAAGTAATAGGGGTGTTTATAAGGACAGTGCTTATTTATACTTACCGAGCTCAGCTTAGTCCACCTGATTTACCAAGCTTAGATTTCGGTTCATGCTGTCTCAACCTTAAACCCACTTGTCTACTTTGAATTAGCAATATCAAGTTAAGATAATGGATGGACTAGGGAATAACTAATGAATTTCATCTTCATATCATCATTATCATTGCAATGGGGGAATTCAATCTCATTTGCTGTCTCCTTTTGTTTTAAATATGGGGATGAAAGGCATATTGTCCAACTTTAAGGCGTAGAGATTCACATGGGCCTAATGCAACTATGCAAGCATGCACGATTTCCCAAAAGGATGTGGACAGCACCCCTAATTCTCAAAGTTCCCACATCATGCAATACCAAACCAACTCCAAAACTACCTAACAGGCCAACATTCTAAGCTCTACAAATGAATCTTTCTTTCCCCCAGATATCCCCTAAGTAATACGAATATAATCTAAGGTTTCTAAATTTCTTTACCTTTTCAAAGAACATAGCAATATATCAAATATACCCGATATATTCTCTAGGATTCTTAAAAGATATAATAGAATTAAACAAATGCAACCCATAAAAAGAACATGAGAGAGAAAGCCGGTTGATTAGCAAAGCAATTTGACGCAATCATGATATGGAAAAATTAGAGTATTAATTTAACAAAACATAGATACTTAATCATAAGTTAGGGTTGTTTGAACATATGGGCAAAAGGCAAGCCATGGAATGGAGCTGGCGGATTAGGGAATTAAATATTACATGGGGAATCAAGAAAAAATCGGGGCCATTGTGATGAATATTGAATCAAATCTGACAACAGTCAAAGGAGGAATTTTATAAGTTAAGAAAAGCTAGGTTTATAATGGGCTTCATACTTTTGTTTATTTTCCTTCTTTCTGCATTCTGAAATGACATTTTTGCCTCAACCAAGCCATGTTTGATGCTGTATTTGAGGTCAATCATGACCACCCATTTCATCTTTTTGATTGAAAAGTTTTGGCATGTTTATGTTTATTAGATTAAGGGAAGGCATAGGGGCAGATTGACATAATTTAAAGTATTTTTTGGGTATATAAAGAGAGGTAGCCACATGCGGCCTCTCCCTTATAAAATCAGAAAGGATGGGCACGAAAGAAGCATGAGAGGTTGGCCTAGGATTTTTGTGCATGTATTTGTATCAAAGGATTGGGTCATAATTTCATTGGAGAGAGATAAGAGTTAAGGACAAAACAAAAGTTGAAGAAAGAAAGAGAGAGAGAGGAAAGGGAAAACAAAAAAAAAAAGGAAAAGATATTGATGATGGAGAGAATGTGGTTGGACTTATTGAATCTCACATGAAAGCACGAGGGCAGCCAGCTGCTGCTGCTACCCTGCACCTGTCAAGGGAAGAGGGCCTGGCCTGGACGCCTCTCATCAAACCCACAGTTACCACAAGACCAATCATGCAACTTTGAGTGGGGACTAGTTTTCCCCTCCTCCCCCTAATATTATTAATTATTATTTAATTAACTTTATCATTATCATCAAGGGAATTTCTTTTATAGCAATATTTATTTTGTTCTCTTTTCTTTCACCTTGGTAACAATTATTTGGCGCATGCCACCCATGATTGTAACCAAACTCTTCCCCCAATGGGGGCCATACAAAGAAAAAACTCATCCGTGGGATGTTTCTTTCTCAACATGTTTTCACGTTTCCCTTCCTCATTCAACCTTTTTTCTTATTATCATTATTAATACACACAAACAAGGCACTATTGACTTGAATTTCAGGATTTCTTTATTCTTATAATCACACATGGTTTTGCTCCCAAACTAACAGCTCCTATTACCTATCTATTATCTTAAATCAAAGTGCTTAAACACCTTATAACAATATAAATTTTAAAATCAAATCTTCATATAACTGTTACGTGTATATATATATATATATATATATATATATATATATATATGCTTGGGTGAAATTATTTCCCCCAGCTCCACCCTAAACAGTTTGAGCAGATCCAGATGTACTTTCCCAAAGTTGTTTTTTCCTATATATAGGAGACAATCATGAAACCGTACAATAAGAAGCAAAAAAAAAAATAGTAGTATAGTATCAGTCTTGATGCCAATCCGTGCTTTTCCACGTACTTCAATTCAATATTTATATTTTTGCATTAACATCGATATACTGTACAACTGAAATTGTTTGTTAGGTTAAATAATGGGAGATCTCTTTCTAATTCTTGCTTTTACCTAAACTTGAAATTATATATAAAAGGAACCTTTTAACTTATAATTTACCTGCCTTTGTTCATTGGTAACCTTATGTAATTAGCTACCGTTAAGCATCAAATATTGGAACTTTGTGTCTAAAAGCAACAAAGGGATAGGTGCTCTCCAAAAGGAACCGGACCCCTTGTATATAATTATATAATGCATTAGTCGTTGGTGTAAATGGGGATTTGATGGAATTCAAAGAATAGGTAAAATTGATTTCAATGTGAGTCTTTAAATAGATACTATCTTTAAAATTTATTTTACCTCATCACTTTATATGTAAAAGGTAATAATACGAATAGCTTTAAAAATACAATAAAGCTAACGTTTATTTCATCTTATAATTAACGAGAGTAAACCGTTAGATACTTGAGGGTTTACAAAGTTATTTGGTTTTAAAATCTACTTTCTGCAGCAAATAGACCATTAGAAATTTGAAAGCTTTTGTAGTTGATGGAAACTTTGTTTATGTTATTAGAATGCAATATTTTTCTTTCTCTTTATATTTTTGCTTTTATTTTTGTGTTTGCTTTGATCTGTCAAAGTGGTTGGCAACAAATCCTTTATATAGACTTGTAACCAAACTCTTCTTCATGGACACAACTTTTTTATTAAGACATCATTTTGTTTAAAAAATATTTTTTCATTTTACCAAATACAACTTTTAAATAAAGTTATTATTTTATAAAAAGATAACTATTCATTTCATAAATTTTAACTTTTGAAACAATAATTTTTCATATTTAACTTTTAAGTTATGGTGTCTTTTCAATATGTCTCATAACTTTTGAATGTCATTTTATTAAGAGACATAACTATTCATATGAAAACCTGTCCATAATCCAATAAACACATTATATTTGTTTATATGACATAATTCTTGAATTAAGATAACTTTTCATTTTATGACATAACTTTTAATTTTGAAAATATATCAACATTAACTCATTGAAATGTAATTCTAATTCGCTTATCCATGCATGATGCATCTCCCGGTACAAATATTCTCTCCCTAACTGGATTCAAGGCTCCAATCTTTTTTTTTTCCTCTCTCTGTCTCTCACTCGCTGGCTTTTTATCCCTTTGTTCTTTCCTTTTGTCATCCACACGCGTGCACGTACGCATGCATATCATATTTCCATAACAACACAAAGTAAGAAAAAAAATTGTCTGTTGAGAGTACAATTGTTTACTAGCATGATTAAGGGTATTTAAGAGCAGCACAGAGAGAGAGAGAGAGAAAGCGTGCGTGCGTGCGTGCGGCGGGGAAGAAGAAAAATCCATCCATGATGGAGAGTTCATTGTGGGTTGTGTTTGTGACAGCAGTTTTGTTTTGCATCAAATATCTCTATAGCAAAAGCAAGTTGAGTCTAAGATCATCTTCATCAAAAAACTCATGCCAGCTTCCTTCAGGAACTCTCGGATGGCCTTTTATTGGGGAAACCATCGAGTTTATCACTTGTGCTTACTCAGACCGCCCTGAGAGCTTCATGGATAGGCGTCGCCGCATGTAAGTTTTATTTACTATATACAAATATGTGTGTGTGTGTGTGTGGGTGGGTGTTGGTTTCTCAGCCTTCTTTTATTTTCTTTTTACCCTAAATATATATATATATATGTTTTAATGTATACTAAAATTTAAATGAAGATTTCATGTCATCATCTTCAGTACTTCACCTAATCTGTGGTTAAAGCTGGTTCCCTAAATTTATTTCTATGTATTATTTCTTTAAAAAAGTTTCAGAACCAGTACCCTTAAGTGTGATTAATTTTCCTTTAGTTTGATGAATAATACGATGCTAAAAAGATTAGGGTTACTTTTTGATTTCATATGTGGTTTCTATACATAACTAGAGTCAAGGCAGTGTTATTACAATTTATGAAGATAAAGGAAAGCTATAAGAGGATATGTATGTATGTATCTGGGTTATTTTGCAGGTATGGCAAAGTGTTCAAGTCACACATATTTGGAACTCCAACAATTGTTTCAACAGACGCAGAAGTGAGTAGATTTGTTCTACAAAGTGATGCGAAGGCTTTCGTGCCCTTTTATCCGAAATCCCTCACTGAGTTGATGGGAAACTCCTCCATTCTGCTAATCAATGGGAGCTTACAAAGGAAAATCCATGGTCTTATAGGATCCTTCTTCAAGTCTCCACATCTCAAAGATCAGATCACTAAAGACATGCAACATTATGTCCAACAATCAATGGATAAATGGAGAGATGATCAGCCCATATACATACAAGATGAAACCAAAAATGTTAGTGCCTTTCTCTCTTTGAGTGTGTTGAAGTAAATATTCCTTTCATTGAAGTTTGTTCTCTGGCATTAGTTTTCCCTCAAAGTTTTAGGATAACTTTTTGAAAAGAGTTCCTCCCAGACACAGGATAAAACAAAAGATGCCGTCTCTCTTAAATCTATATCTGGTTTTTTCTTCCAAGTTTGAGGAGTTTCGTAAGGAACTAGCTAGGTGCCCCCCCAAAAGACACAAGGAAAAATAAACAGCACACGCAGACAAAACTCACACACGTGCGCACAAACTCTCTCTCTTTATCTCTATCCCCCTATATAGTGAAAGGAATCATTGAAGTTTGAATTTTATCTCTGGCTTCTACTTAAGTTTAAATACGGTTTTGCTGGAAAGTAAAAACAACCCAGTTGAGATCATGGAGGTTACAATGATTTTGCATGAATAATTTTGTCTGAGAAATTTGCTTCATAATGATTGTGCTATATATTCCTTTTGAAAAGTTACTAAGAAAATACCCTTTTCTTGTCTCCAGATTGCCTTTCAAGTACTAGTCAAGGCATTGATTAGTTTGAATCCAGGTGAAGAAATGGAACTTCTCAAAAAACAGTTCCAAGAATTTATATTAGGCCTAATGTCTTTACCTGTAAAAGTACCCGGAAGTCAACTTTATCGATCCTTGCAGGTAAACTCTATTCACATTTAATTTTTCTCTATTAGTATTGTATATATAAATATGGAGGGTCTAAGAAGGAAACCTGTTGAATTTCACTTCCAGGCGAAGGAGAGAATGGTTAAGATTGTACACAAAATCATCCAATCTAAAAGGAATTCTGGCATCTCAACAGTTGCAAAAGATGTGGTCGACGTTTGCTCAAAGATGCTAGTGAACTATTAACAGATGATCTAATAGCAGATAACATGATTGATATGATGATCCCTGGTGAAGATTCAGTGCCGGTCCTAATGACTCTTGCAATAAAATACCTTTCAGATTGCCCTGCTGCGCTGCATCAATTGACGGTATGCACTTTTTCTGTTGGAATTTATATATCAGCAATATCATGTCACTCCTCCATTTCCCTGAGAAAATTGCCAATATCATTTCCATGACTCATTGGCTTTATGTTGCTATCATAATCTAGCTCGAATTGACTTGGGGTCAGCAAGTGCCTATTTAGAAACTTTGGAAAGTCATTTTGGATTAGTATATTTTCTTTGGGCTACTGTGAGATTCAAGACCTTTTTTTTTTCTGACTAATTTGAACTTGTCACTGAAGTGATTTGCTTGTCCTTATAGGAAGTGTCTGCTTGCCACTAGTTTTTATTTGACCATCTAGGCACAAGTGGCACGCTTGACTAGGATTGCCATGATCACTTGCTAGGGTTTTGTCCACACTATACATAATTTCTACTTGATAGCAAGTGCCCTTTCTAATCGATGTAACTCGTATGATATACGTTTCAACTTTCCAATTAGTCGGTCTTGAACCGCCTCCCTACCCACCCAAAATGTATATTTTTAAGATAAAGCAGCAAACTTATGCTTTTAAATATTCTTTAAATTCTAATTCTATGGATACTGTTGCTTGTTTGTATATTCTTGTCTAGCTTTTCTGATGAACTCTGGAAATTTTTTAGGAGGAAAACATGAAGCTGAAAAAGCTCAAAGCTCAGAATGGACAGCCATTGATTTGGAGTGATTACTTATCATTACCTTTTACACAAAGCGTAAGTTCAACCAATAAAATTAAGATTGCATTGCATATATATTGCAGAAAGGAATGACATGGGACTAAAAGAAATTAAACTAATTAATTAATTATTAGCTAGCTCCAATAATTAAGGTTGCATTATATGGTTAAGCAGGTTATTACAGAGACTCTCAGGATGGGAAACATTATAATAGGGGTGATGAGAAAGGCCATGAAGGACATAGAGATAAAAGGGTATCTAATACCAAAAGGATGGTGCTTTTTTGCGTATTTTAGATCAGTTCATCTTGATGAAAATCACTATGATTGGCCTTATCAGTTCAATCCATGGAGATGGCAAGTAAGAGTAAATGGACCCTTTTAATTTCCTTTTGGTGCTATACACACACACACACACATACATTGTCCTTCTTCTGCTTGTTATCTATTCGTGTTGCTTAGCATTAAACTCATAGACTGGGGGATTCATCACAGGACAAAGACGTAATTAGCAGCTACAACTTCACCCCATTTGGAGGTGGGCAAAGGCTGTGTCCTGGACTTGACTTGGCCAGGCTGGAAGCTTCCATTTTCTTACACCATTTTGTGACCACTTTCAGGTAACAAACACTCCCAATTTGAGCCTTCGTATAAAACTAAAAATTGGAATGAGTTACTTGCTTTTTTACATTATAAAGGGACAAACCAGGGAAGAGCCACCTTTGAAGGCTGTCATGCACGCTCAAACGCTAGTTTTTTCTTCACTTTTACCACATGAACCAAGACAAAATCATAACAAAAGAGACTGAACTTTCTGTCCTTTTGGGCTCAGTAGCTGTTAACAAGGCATCGCATTTCCATATATACTTGCTTTCCAAGTACATGCATTTTGGTGTTTTCAACATGTGATGATGACCTTCGAAAACCATACTCCATTCATCTTTTCCTGCTCCAACAGGTGTTCAAGCTATACCAACACATAGTCAAAAATCATAGCTTAAACTTTCAGCTGAAAAGCCAAATTCCATGAATATTGTTCCCTTGATGGGTTGAAGCACATGTGGCCGTGGCCAAACTGATTTAATTAGAATCATTCAATTTATGGGGTCTCACTTTAATTTCTTCCTTGGATTTGGCATTTTCAAAATTTCTTTTTTCTTTGGTCAAATGCATTGAGCACATAACATTATTAATCAAATCATTCATAGTCTTTGCCGACATTGATTATATAATGCCTGTATTAAGTCTAGCTTTATGGTACATAAAAGTTTGACTACATAAAGATATTGCTAATGCTAATAGCCATGCATTTTAGGGTTCAGACCAACAATGGTTGCTGTCTGATCTCGATAATTAAAATTATTCAATACTCTAAAACCTATGTAGTGTATATTTATTAGCCAGTGGGCTTTCCACTAGGTACAAGGCTAGATATTTTTGTTTAATATAGCTAGGAGAAAAACAATGTACATGTGATCTTGGTCTCACCCCTAATATCTTGACTGTTTGATTTTATGAATTTTAAAAAGAATTAAAACTAACGAATTCTCTAAACTTACATGCAGATGGGTGGCCGAAGATGACACGATTGTCAACTTTCCAACAGTAAGAATGAAGAAGAGAATGCCGATTTGGGTCAAAAGAAGGGAAGACTCCTAGTAACCTAAGCTTGCTTTTGGCTAAGAAAACTTTAAGCAGAAACTTCCAATCCAATGACATAAGACAACCCAGCAAGAAATTCTCAAAGCAAAGAAAATAAAAAAGGGTTTGGCCACAGTGCACAGGTGTGGGGGGGCATTGACAAGTTGCAATGTTCGTTATCTTTCGAAGGATAGGGGCATTGCAGATTTAGACATTAATTGGAAGTAAATATACATATATATATATATATATATATTTTAACTATGGGACCAATAAATTATCCCCTGATTTTGCATTATAATTCCCTATCCCTCTTGTTTTTCACCTTAGCAATATGTAAAATAGTAATAATAAAGTAATAAAAGGTTATTTATTAAGATAGTCTCATTTTTTTCTTCTTTTTCTTTTTCTTTGGATGAGATCAAATAACTTTCTTCAAAATATCTAATCAAATTGTTTTGCTGTTGTAAATGGTTTAGACTTTGTGATGTATAGTACGTGGATATATCAATTAAGTTGATTCAGGACACATATGTTATAGGCTGTTATCATGCATGTTCATATACGTAGATATGATCCGGAGGGGGTTGTTATGTCCCTCTACGTGCTACTCTACTCTACTACCTTCATATATATGATAATTGTCTTTTGCCACAAATATTAAATAATAGAATCAATATATATATATATATTTAAAAAATACCCAGCGAGAAGAAAATTTAGACTGTCATGGGTTCCAAATTGAACCATATATTAATGCTAGAACTTGTATGGAATTCAATTGAAATTACAAAAGCCTCTGTTGCTACATTTAGGATGAGGATGGTTTGAAAACACTAACAGTAAGCTTCATTTACTGAAGATCCATATGCAGTAATCTTCCCAACTTTAGTTATACTAGTACAATACATGGATTTTCCAATTGCATAATATATAATTCCTTCTATTACTTGAGTAAAAAGAAGCCCCAAAGGGGCTTCCTCCTCTAACCACGTGGAAAACATTGGAAAAAAGGGCAAAAAAAAAAAAAGATAGAAAGAGAGAAGAAAACTGGTAAAAAGAGGCCGTGTGTAACGCACTGGCCATAGTCTGGTAATCTTCATTTGAAGCATGGAGCGACGTAGTTTTCAACTTTACCGTGTTTCACATACATGGATGTACAAAGCTCTCTCTTCGAATTTTAGGGGCGCCTCTTTAGATATATATCTTGCCACTTTTGACGTACCAAAAGTTGTTTGTCTCTTTTGTTGACTTGACAGACATGGTTACAAGTTTACATAATTAATCTCTATATATAAATTATATATAATTGCATTTTAAAGTGGAGAACAGAATCTTAATGCAGCTTTCTTTTCAATTCTAAGCTTTTGCGGGTCTTATTTTCCCTGAGGTGTTTATGTGCCTGTCAAAAACTCTGCCGTGAATGCACCTCAAGTTATACAGCTAACATCAAACAATACTTGGAATCCTAGGGTTGAGTGTGTCGAGCATTTGGCAAATCCCTATTGGTTTTCATCCAAACGAAAATGGACTTAGTCAATCCACCCTTTTCTACTCACATTCCCACTAGCTAGCTAGGATGATATCTTATCTTTTTCAAAGCTAATTAATTAATTAATTAATTAATAAACAAAACAACTGTCAATTCCAACATAGGAAAGGCCAGAAAGGGGACACATTAAGACAAAATATAGTTTCCTTATGCTTATTGGTTAGTCGATTTGATTTGGCAGCAAATTTGTTCCATTTCACTTTTGAATCCACCACTTAAGTATGCTATTATAATATAAACAAAGATGGCATGATAACTAAAACATATAAAAGCAATAACAAGGATGCATGATTTGGGTTTTTTTTTTCTTTTTCTTTTTGAGAAATATTTAAATAAAATGAAGCCTTAATTAATTTAGTTTTCTTGTCATCCTATTAATTAACTATATATTATCATTGATTATCATCGTTATAATTGTCATGTCATCATGATTACAATTATAACATTTATCTGTTAATATTGTTGTTGTCATCATCCTTGACTTACACTAGCATTAACATCATATGTCACATTTGGTTACAGGGAGGAGATTACGGTCACTTATTGTTACACCGTAGACTTCAAATCTTATATTAATTTTTATTTGTAATAAACAATTTAAATTGTTAATATTGGCAATTAATTGCATAATTTCTTATTATCAATTATATATTTTAAGATGGTGCTCGTAGTTACGCTACAAAAAAGATTACCAAAAATATAGATTATGTTGGAGTAAACTTCAATTTGATACATTTAAAAGAGTTTGTAGAGAAAGTTATATTGCATTAATCAACTGCATGAATGTATGATTTTTGCTGCTAGAGGAAAAGATAAATTGGTATTAATTGAAAATAGTTATTTGTTTTGATTTCAATCACTAAAAGTTGCTCTTATATACATGGTTATAAAACAATACTTAACTTAAGAAGATAATAATCCTGTAAACATCTAGTAATTTTTTTTCCATGAAAAATATATTGTTCAATTAAAATGAATAACATTTGTGATTTGGAGGTTTTCATTTTGTTAGATGATATAATCAACTTTCTAGATGCAGGACTTGTACTTAGTTAAATGTTAAGGGAATATAAACTGTTACATAACTATTAGATATGTCTAATTATGGTGATAGTTGGTTCTTCCTTTTGCCATATACATTTGTTTCCATTTTTTTGGTTTTTGTTGTTGTACTATATTGTATTACTAAATTTCATAAATGTATGGTTCTTGCTGGTAGAAGAAAAGATAAATTCGTATTAATTGAAGATAGTTATTTCCTTTGATATCAATTACCGAAAACCTGCTCCTACATATATGGTTATAAAATAGTATTTATCCAAAGAAGACAATAATTCTATCAGAAATTATTAGATGTATAGTAAAATATTAAGAAATGAGAGAGTATATAACTTGTACTATTGACAAATTAAGATAAACAGTTGTAGAATATTGGGCAATAATATAATGTAAAGATTCCAGTAATGTAAAATAATTACTAAGTTCTAATAGTATCTTTCTTTTATATATCAATGAATGGTTAAAGGTTATCAAATTCAGTTGATTTGTTTATTTAATGATGACTGTGTGTTATGTGTATTGAGAAATTAGTAGACCTTCTTGACTTTTTTTATTTTGTTCAATGAATTCGATAGATATTTATTTAAATTTAAACATTCATATATAAAAAAGATGTTTCAATACTATGGATTCAAGTTTATGCAGAATATGAGGATACAGACAAAAAGTAATAATAAATTATAATTGATAAATATTAAATGAATCTATTATTTAAGCATTCAAAGTTAGAAATTATTATCTTCAAACATTTTTTTGAAATAAATAAAAGTAAAAAAAAACCTTCAAATGTTAGAAACAATGTAGTTTTAACATAAAGTGTATAAAAAAAATTAATTCAATTGTGAATGACAAGTATCAACCAATTAACCCAATCGTTTATCTTACTTTTATATATATTATAGATATATAGAACTCTTAATCTTTCAAAGTTTCTTTCAATTGATATTTTTACTAATTCATATTTGTATTTTGGTTTATAATTTTTTTTAGTTTTATTAAAAATAAATTAAAAAATATTAATAAAACAAAATCGTAATAAATCTAATACGGTTAAATAAATGACCATCAATAATCTTTCAACAATTCCCCCTTTAATGTTTTTGACCTTTTGATAATGATCAGCATTATTATGAGTTAAATAAAAAATAGTGAGAGTTAATATTACCGATTTCATATCTGTAAGAGATGAAATGTGTCTTAAATTTATAAATAAAATTCTTTTCACTTAATAAAATATTTTTTAATTAAAAATATGGATTTATGACATTAAACCTAACCTAAATTTTAAACTACATTTTAAGTTCCCATTAGTTTTGAGCCTTAGTTTTGTTTAAGCCCTAATTAGTGATAAAAGGACAATGGGCTTAGTACCCACTTAAACTTTATTATTAGCAAGCTGTTTAATTATTGAATAATGAAAATATACATATTGTTTTCAAGTGTTTTATTTTTTTTAATTCTTGCTTGCTTTGAAAATTTGTAAAATTTAGAAGTCAGATTGAACCTGAATTTAGTACCCCACCTAATACTTCGATTGGGTGATTAGTGTCTTTTACTAATTTCATTCAAAAGATCTAAATAGAGTTTTTTTTTACTGAATTTCTCAAAATAAGAATAAATTAAATAGTTTTATTTTCAAATTTATATGATTATATCGTATAATTTGACAATATTTATTTATTTTTTTCTTGAAAGAAATAATGATTCTTGTTCATAAATTTGAAAAGAATGTTTTGTTAATACAAGAGAATCAATAAAAAACAAGGAATGATATAATGCTCAAAAAAACGTTTGAACTATTCAAGAATTTAAATAAACCTTTTTTTTTGAAAGGTAGCAGTAATAATATATTTCATTAAAGAGGTACAAAATCTATCAACAAGGTTGTATCATAGCACATCATTGGTTACAGAAAAAACATCTAATGTTGTTGTAGCTTTCCTTAAGCTGGACACCAAAGTTGCACTGGGATCATACATATAAGTATCATCCTATAGCAACCAAGAAATGGTCTTATACAAAAAACAAAGAAAAGCAACAACGACTCAAGCCTTCCTCTTAATATTGAGAATCAGATGAATAATTGCAAACATAACCACAAGACGAGACCAAAAGACTATAGTCATCATTAGCAACTATGTACATAAAGGTGCCAAAAAAAGGAAGTAAACAAATCAAAATCATCGAAAAACCCAACAAGGAGTAGAAGCAATGAGACAAAAACAGAAGTAACAACATAAAAAATGATAACCATTAACAACAATGGATATGAAGAGACCAGAGACAAACAACCATCAAGAACCAAAGTCATCCAATAGCCCAGTAAAAGCATTGTTAATGATTCAAAAATAGGGAAGAAAGACACAAAAGCAGTAAAGTCATGATGAGAACTTATCTCATAGTCGTGGTGGAAGCAACAAGAAGTCAAAGAATAGAAGGATTTCCCTCCAAGGTATCAGCTTTAGAAATAATCCACAAAAAGTCATGAGATCTCTACACACTATATTTGGTAAGAGCATCAGCATCACCATTCGCTGATTTAGGCACATATCAGATCTTCCAGGAATGAATTTTCCTAAGTATTTTCATGATTTGCATAACCACTACCCTTACTCTCCATGGCACATCATGGGGATTTTGAATCCATTTAACCACATTTTAAGAATCATAATCAAGTGATAAGGAGTGGGAAGA